GAGAGAGAGAGAGAGAGAGAGAGAGAGAGAGATGGGGGAGGGGAGAGAACACCTATTCTAACACCTGGCAACATACTTGCCATGAGATAGCTATTAATGGATCCCAGATTTTAATAGTACTGGAAAACTTTGTGAAAAGTTGGATTCCCCCCAGCCACGCCCCGCCCTTTAGGGAACAAAGAGGCTGAAGAAAAAGCCAAATCAGATGCACAAATTGCACTTTTTCATATATAATAAGACTCTATTTGCTCTTTAGGCAACTATACTTATTTATAATCTTTGGAAACAACTTACACATACATTCAGCAGTTGCATGTTTCCTGATTTACTTCCCTCTCATGCTAGAACCCCAATTACTATAGATTTCCCAAATGATGAGGACAAAACAATATATGTACTATGGCAGAACCACTTTCTTCAAAACATTCCTATCTTCGTGGCTTCTTGGCTTGTCAGTAAGTTCTGATGCAAAGAAGCATTTTTGGCAAGGCAATTACTTAGAGATGGAACCAGTTATGAGAATTTTGGTCAATTTACTGCAGTAAGGAATATAGAGCACAATTCTTGTATCAATAGACTTCTAATGGCATGACCTAAGAGGATTATGTGTGAGACACAACAACAGTATATTATTTCAAAATGTATATTTAACGGCCATTCCATCAAAATCAAGCAGAATCACATTTCAAAAGTATTACACAAAGTCTTATGTGTGGGTGTGTGTATGCACACACGTACTTTTTATTTTAAGGTGCATTTTCAAGTTTTATTTGGGCTTCATTTCTTCTTGGCTGCCTCAGGGGTTCTTACAGGTACAATTAGCATAGAACTTCTGAGGCCTATAGCTTCCTGTGCACTGAAAGACAAGATCCTCATAACACTGCACATCTTGGATACATTAGAAATTCCACAAGCCATATGTAACTTCAGAAAACTCAATGCCAGTCATGAAAGACATTTTCAACATAAGATTTAGGCACTCTATACTTTGGAATAGCCACAAAATATTCCAACAAGAGTTAATGCACTTTGTGATTACATCTACTCAAAGATAAGTCTCAATCAAAATCTGTAATTATTAAATAACATTTTAAATTAGAGCCCATTACATGTTGACAATTACTGTGGACCATTCGCAGCATAGTGTTTTAGTTCAAAGATGCTACAATACTTCAATTACTGATCCTGGTACCCCTCTTTTATGGTACATTTTTTACAGAAGAACCTATTCACTGATAAGCAGCTCCCCCATTTTCCTGTGAATACCTACATAAGAATGCCCCTATTCAACTTTAAAGGTATTTTTGTATTTTCTGCTGTAGTTGCTTTGTTAGCGTGTAAAACTTCGGCAGATGGGGGGCTTCCTGACGATCAGGAAACATTAGCCAAGTACCCATCACTGATCCTCAGGCTGAGTTCATTTCCACCGTCACTTTGCGGCTAAGCATGTTGCTCTATCCTTATGTTCCTACAGATTGTACTGCTAGCTTGACCGGTATGGAGCCAAGGGGAAGGATACTCAAATTTGTCACTCTACTTTGCACAAGTCCAAGGCCACCCAGGCCACATCTGACTTACGATCTCTACAGTGTGGTTGTCAGGCTTCCACCTCGTCTTCTGAAGACTGAAGGGTGGGAATGATGCCTGCCTACTGAGATGTCATTAACTCCAGATGAACTTCCTGGACTTGAAGGTAATTTAGCATGGTTAGAATTCAGAACATGGATGCTAATTTTTCCTGCTGAGAATAAGGTGCTTTTTCTCAGTGGTATACATTTATTTAGCTAAGAAAACAATTAGAAAGCCTTCCAGAGTTTTCACATTACAGTGTGCATATTGATTCATCATAATCACCAATGACTAGTTTATAAAGATACGCCAGGGAAACGAATTTGAGACTTACTTGACTATAAGTCGTGCAGAAAAGAGCACAGTAATTTCCCATAGGAGAACTGGGTATTTTATCATGGGGATCAATGGTAAGTTAATTATACTACTAATGTTTTCTGCCATACTTGAAGAGACAATTAGCATACGTAAATCATGAGATGACAAGTTGCTTAATGTTTGTTTCTGTTCATCAGATGCCAAGTAAGCTTGCTGTTAAGCCTCTGAGTGAGGAGGAATGGGCAGAGAAGGGCACAAGGAATGAGGCGCTGTTAACTTCGGTTTCAGCAAACATAATCAGAACCAGCTACTACTAGTAGATAAACATGGATGTTAGATGCATATCAGAGAAGACTCATTCGAGTTTTGGAAATTAACCCCACCAAGAGGTGACGGTTGATTTGGGAAATTCACACGAAATCTAGCTTCCTCTCCTGAGCAGAGAGGGTGAGATGGGAAATGAAAGCGGATTCTAGTGGAGGCTGCTTTTCATCCTCTCTCAGGGCTTCATCTTCCTATGGATATTCTACAATACCTATCTTGAGATTAGGACCCGAGGCTCATGACAGCACAGTTAAGGTTACAGTCCCTTTCTGGTGTTTTAGAATGGCCACAGCTTGCTCATGAGTGACACCTTCCAGGGTCTCGCCATTAACGGCTAAAATCTGATCGCCTCGCTTCAACCGGCCGTCATCTGCAGCTGCTCCCTACAAACAAGAAACATTCCAGTTTAATCCAGGACCACGCAGTTAACAAATAATATTAATATTAGGGTGTGTTTATCAAAAGAGTAACTTTAAAAACTACCAGTTAAAGTTATTTCTAGGTAATGTTTTTAAACTAAGAAAATTAAGAATGTAGGATGTGTTATTTGAATAATGGTTGAATAGTAACCATAATTATGCACTGTTTAAATAACATACTAGCAGAAATGTACTGACATTCACATTTCTTTTAATACGAGTAGGACCTTATTTCAATATTCCATGCTGAATGGAATTTGAATGTCATATTCATGAATACCTAATATACTGAAAAAGGCAGAACTGAATCTGGTGTTAAGTCTTATTGCCAGCACCATCATGATATAGGGTTCCCGTTGCATTATTAAGATATCTTGCCTGCAGTGATTGGTCAAAAATGAGTGTAGCCTTGGGGCATCTGCTGGCTCAGAAGAGTATGAGACTCTTGATCTCGGGTTTGTGAGTTTGAGCCCTGTGTTGGGTGTAGAGATTACTCAAATAAATAAAAAAAAGATGTAGCCTCTAGATGGGGTGAATTGTATAGTACGTGAATTCTATCTCAATAAAGCTGTTCTATATATAAATACACAAAGTGTAGCATCTCTGAAGTTTTGCAATATCATATTCAAAAGCTTCAGCTTATCTTTGATCATTTAGGGTTCTAAATGACTACTTTCATTATACATTCAGTCATGCTTGGCTCCTCAAAATTGCACAAAGCAAGTGAAACTTGGGCTTTTTTAAATTCTAAAGCCAAGTACCTAAAAATACCATGATATTACTAGAAATATTTTGGATGGGTAAGGAAAGAAAAAACCTAGGAAAAGATTTGTAGGAGGCTTTCTCCTTCTGTTGGGGTAACTGTGAAAATCCCTTAAAACATCAGTGCTGGAAGAATCCTCTAAATGATGTTGAAGTGCTGGGGAAAATAATTAAGGCCCACAGTCACCCCTGTCCTGACTCACTCAGAAGCCAAACTAAGAGGCACTAACTAATGCTTCAGAGACTGGTGTCTACCTGCAGCATGGAGGTCCTGAGGTGATGGGTGAATTATCTAGACTGTCAAAACCGTGGAAAGGGTAGAATTCTGGTAAAGGTATAATAAAGAATATTCAAAACCATGTCTGTACTGGGGGGAAATACCAAAATTAAATAAATTGTAACTTCATTCAAATCTTTTTTTTTTTTCTTTTACGAAAGTGTGTTAACTGCAACACAGACAAGATTAAACAACTTGTGGATAAAATCAGAGTAACTTAGCAAACTTGATTTTATTAAATGTTACAGGCTAAGATTTGAGGGCTTTAGGAAACCTCAGATATCTGTGTAATTTTTTTTTTAAAGCATGTTAAGTTTTTCAAGTTTTCATTTTCAGTAATGCAAAACAGGATGACATTTCAACTTTCTGCGATTTGTACATTCTTTAACAAAAATTTTTTAATGTTTATTCATTTTTGAGAGAGAGCGAGCAAGTGTACGTGCACAAGTCGGGGAGGGGCAGAGAGAGAGGAAGACAGCATTTGAAGCAGGCTCCAGGCTCTGAGCTGTCAGCACAGAGCCTGATTTGGGGCTTGAACCCATGAACCATGAGATCATTACCTAAGCCAAAGTCGAGTCGGACCCTCAACTGACTGAGCTACCCAGGAACCTCCCAAATTTATTTCTTAGTTGAGCAAGAGAAGTATTAAAAGAAGCTTAGGGACACTAACAAGGTCACATAAAAACTCACGCCCTGTGGGCATCCGAGATTCAGAAACTTGAGAAGACAAACATTTTTAAGAATATATGTTCATTGTTGAAAAACAGGGAAAACATACAGCTATCATTTCTATAGCTTCCAAATTCCTATGGGGGAAATGTTTAGCTTAGCATCAAAATTCATTTTTATGATGGACTTCACCATTTAAAAAAAAGAAAAACTTGGGGCGCCTGGGTGGCTCAGTCGGTAAGCATCCGACTTCAGCTCGGGTCATGATCTCGTGGTTTGTGAGTTTGCGCCCCGCATCGGGCTCTGTGCTGACAGCTGGGACGGAGCCTGGAGCCTGCTTCGGATTCTGTGTCTCCCTCTCTCTCTGCTCCTCCCCCACTCACACTCTGTCTCTCTCTCAAAAATGACTAAACATTAAAAAAAAAAAAAAATTAAAAAAAAAAAAAAAGAAAAACTTGGGGCACCGGGGTGGGTTAAGTGTCTGACTCTTGATTGGCTCATTGATCTCATGGTTCGTGGGATTGAGATCCGTGTCGGACTCTGAGCTGGCAGTGTGGCCTGCTTGGGATTCCTTCTCTCTCTCTCTCTCTGCCCCTCCCCTGCTGGTTCTCTCTCTCAAAATAAATTTAAAAAAAAAAGAGAGAAAAACTCTTTTGCCAGATTTTCGTTTACTGATTGTCTAAAGAAAACTTTTAAATTTGGATATACTGGCTTCACTCTAACAAATGAAAAAAGAAAAAGCCATCAAATGAGATTGAATTATAATAAACTCTATGGAACTAATAATTGTTTGCACTAGAATATTCTTTTATTGAGACTGAACTAAGTAGGCCATTAGCTAAGGCTTTAGAACTTTTTCTTTTTTTAATTGGGCTTCTCAGATTTAGCTGTGCCTTACTTTACAAACAAGGGTCTATTCCTTAAAAATAAAACATACCAGGGATGTTCAATATTTCCTACTGTGTTACTACTTGCATAGCTGCTTTCTAAATGGCATCTTCAGTGAGGGTCTTTGAAAAGAGATTCTGTGGGAGCTGCAGCACATTCATTATCCCCCACTGCTTTGTCCCACTGTGATTCGATGGTAGTTTCTTTTCAAAAACCCACCAGCAATGCACGGCCATTTCATCCTCCACTGTATGTTCTGGTGACCCGACAAAAGGTGCCTGGCCCTGGCTCACTACCTAGGAGTTGTCTAGATGGGCGTGGCTGGTGTGGCCTTCTAACTCTGGACTGCAGGTCAAAAGACCTGAGAAGCTAACCAGTCCTCTGATCTACCTACAGTTACGAAGTGAACAGGGAATTACAAACATTCTGGAAGGGCTTTACAGAGAGGCAAAGGCGGGGAAGTAGATTGTGTTTTACACTATTCTTATCTATATAGTGGCTCTTTTAAAAGCAGAATATAGGGGCGCCTGGGTGGCTCTGTTAGGTGTCCAACTCTTGGTTTTGGCTCAGGTCGTGATCTCACGGTTTTGTGAGTTCGAGCCCTGCATTGGGTTCTGTGCTGGCGGTGCGGAGCCTGCTTGGGATTCTCTCTCTCCCTCTCTCTCTGTCCCTCCCCCATGCTCTCTCGCAAAAATAAATAAACTTAAAAAAATAAAAGCAAAGTATAATAATGCACCCAAAGAATAATTATCACAATTACTTACGGTGTTGCCTTAGGAAAAGGAGGGTCTCTCAGTGGCTTACCACCTTGGGAATTATTAGACTGGGGCAGCACCACTATCCAGAATGTTTCTGATCTGCTTTCCCTCTTCCCTTTTGCCCATCACCAGGTCAACAGATGTGTGTGTTTGGGAATAACATGTCTCCTTAATAGGCACCCTAGCAAATTGGAAACAGGTGGGTAAATCTGCAGCTACCTAATGTGTTCCAAAAGGAAATGCCAAATGACTTAAGGATTATGTCAGGTCATGGTTAGGCTCAATTAACAGGTGCTAAGAGCCGCACAGGTAAAAGTAAACTTGTTATTTAGTGTAGAGTATAGCTTTCTAGAAAGAGAATCTACCTTATTTATTCTCTTAAAGACCTTTATTTCGTTAGGAAAGAGCAGTAGGAGGCCATCGGATCAATTAATAAAAAAAGACTGTCATAAAACCAATGAAGAGTAAAATTGTACTATTAATACTAAGTCCTTTTCTGAGATCTTCAGAATTGACAATAAAATTGAATTCCAACTTTAAAAGTCACAATAAAGTTAAAAGTAACTTATCTAAGAGCCATCTAGAGGCAGCAGTTGGAATGGACACCATGACCTATGTATCAAGTAGGATGTATTGGAATATTTAATTCCTGAAAAACACTATTATCCAGCTGGAGTCTAATTTAGTGGGCTGATCGTGCAAGTACTCAGCAGAGGGCTGGAAGAGAGAGACAGCAACTTAAGGTAAAGGGTCCTGAGATTTCTGGTGATGTACGGCCATTAATGCTGCACTGACCCGAGGCTTGTGCAGAGCTTTCTGCCACGGCCCTGTGCGGTCATCTTTTCTTGAAGGAGAAAGCCAAACTTTTGTTCTAGCCTGGAATAACACTTCCAAGGCCAGCTTCCAAAGAGCCCTGCACTGCTCCTTATGTTGTGTTGTTGAAAGAAGACAATGTGTAAAATCAACTTTTGTAGATTTTTTTTTTTCACTAGTCTGCTGTGGGAATGTCCTACACAAGGTGAAAATGCAATGAGCATACAAGCACACACCCAGGTATAGCTAAAAGTAAGCAAAGCAAAGCACTTAGAAAAAAAATCTCACCTAGGTTAAAAAAAAAAAAAAGTACAGTAAAAAGGAAAAAAATACCTTTGCAAATATAGTCTTGACATAAATTGGCAGGTCTCCATGGGGACTTCCATAACCCCCTACAATACTAAACCCCAATCCTTCAGAGCCTTTCTCCAAAGTAATAATCTTAGGTGGAGGTGTTCTGAAAACACAATGCACGCTGTTTAATTCAAGAATAGATATTGAGAGGGAATTTCATTTTAATGGAAGAACACAGATTTGAGAGAGACTTTCATACTGCGAAACTATGAAGGCCAGTTTATCAAATCAAACTCTCAGAGAGTAATCAGAAACTGATTTTTACATTTCCTGTGTCATGCAGGACTAATGGCCGATGTCTTAATGACTTGATGTCTTAAGGGGTGTTCTCTTTCATAAAAGTCACTGTTTTTTAGTGAAAAAGAAAGTCAGGATGCCGAGGTTGTTAAAGCAGCCGTCTGTATGCTTGGCTTTTAACTTTTACGCTTACTGTGCTTACTGTTTAAAGCTGAATGAAATGGTCTCCATATCCTTGAAGAATGTGCATGGGGACAGAGAGGTGGGGTATCACCTTTGCTTAGTGGCAGACCACCAGTCTACAGGTGGGCTTCTCTCCAGAACAGGTGATGGCAGCCCAATGGCTCAGTCAACTGCCGCTCCTTTTCTGCCTGAATAGCCTCACCACACCTCACCTACCACTTCCACCTAGGGAACCGGGGTGGGAACTCCTTCTTCAAAGCCCATCTCCAGTGTGATGCTTTCCTGATTCCCTTGGGAGAATTAGCCAATCCTCCTCTGTGCTCCCTTTGCACTTGGTCCAGATTTCTAGTATAGCACTTGTCATAAGATGGCGTGATCGCTTAGCCATCTTTCTCTTTCACCAGACCATGAACTCCTCACGTCTCTGTCATCTGAGTATTCGCAGCAGTATGCACTGTGCATGTCACCAACTCAGGATCATGACCATGTACGTGAGAAGTGGAGTCCAGGAGAGAAGAAAGAAGCCAAGGAGAAGCAAAATGGGTAAGGGCAATCTGTTTCAAATGGGTAATTTAGATTTTCAAAGTTTCGTCCAGTGTGGAAGTCTTCTCTCTTAGAAACAACATGGCTAAAAATTAAATTATCTACGTGGGCTCAAGTAGTTTAAGCTTATCTAATGCCACTTTCTTCTTCCCAAATGCCTTTGTCCAAAGGGTAGAAACCTGAAGGAACTCCGGTACCCCAGACCCTGCCATCTTATTTGTAGGAGGTTCATTTTTGTATCGTGGCAGCCTCACCTGTTTTGTGGCAGCATGTGTGTGTGGGACACAGAGCCACGTGATACAAACTCAGCCACTCGTGTATTTAGAGAATTTTGCAAAACTGGGATATAAGCAACCTTTGAATATGCTATTCTGTCTAACTAGAGTATTCTTCCCTCTCTCCCGCCTCAATTTTGCCTGGCTTTTCTTAGGGTTGATTTTCAGCTGGTTCACACCGATAGGGGTGTTTATTGATGTACTTACTGGTTGTTTGCAGCAGGCAACCCCTAGTAATTGCTGAATGTCCATGCCATATAAAGTGCTAACTGTTTTGAATGCCACTCCTGCTTATTCCAATTCTTTCAAAACTAAGCTGAAGCATCAGTGTGTCCAAGTGTACCCCCTAATTGAGCTGTGCCACCCTATCATGGTTTCACAGGACCCTGTGCTTACTTATCTCTCCCATGGAACTCAGCTCCCCTATGCTTATCAACTCTTACAAACATGGATTCAGGGGCCTGGTTTTCCAATTCTCTGGCAGTTCCTTGAGGACTGGGGCAATGCCTTCACTTATGTTTCAAAGTTTGAATCTCCCAAACCCCATCCAGGACAGTGTCTGACCTTAGGCAGGTGCTCAATAAATATCTGCTGAATTGATGATAAATTATCGCCTAGGGCCAAATGGTAATGACGTCATGGGTAAGGCTCTACATTTCATGACTTTGGGGCCTTGTAAGTATTCTTAGTAATGGCCCACTGGCCAGATGTAAATTTGATTCATGTTACCTCTTGCAAACACAGCCGCCCATTTCTAAGCATATTGAAATGGGAATCTAGATGTCCAAAGTATTGTTTTAGAGCTGGGCCCTGGGAGCCACCAAATCATTAGAGACCTTCTAATTGTGCTTCTTCACTATTAGAGACCTGTTTTCAGGGGGAGAGGGAGGAATGCAGTTCCACTCATCAGATGGAGTTTGCCTCCATTTATCTCACATTTTCAATTAGTTTTAATTTACTTTCATATAGAAGACTAATAAAAAAAAATCTCCAAATGTTAACAGTGGTTGGATTATAAGTAATTTATAAATTCTTTTATGCTAGGGGCCCCTGGGTGGCTCAGTCGGCTAAGTGTCCAAGTTTGGCTCAGGTCATGATCTTGCAGTTTGTGGGTTCGAGCCCCACATTGGGCTCTGTGCTGACAGCTCAGAGCCTGGAGCCTGCTTCAGATGCTGTGTCTCCCTCTCTGCTGCTCCCCTGCTCGTGCTCTGCCTCTCTTTCTCTCAAAAATAAACATTAAAAAAAAAGAAAAAAGTTCTTTTATGCTAGTGGTTCCCAACTTGCCAGGAGCTGTGAAATTATACCAAAGGAACCAAGATTATAAGGGCATCTCTGTACTTCCATAGGGACATCAAATGATGCTAAAAATGCACTAACTACTCTTCCTATAAGGGCCCTGATTTTTTTTTGGAAAGGGCCATTATAACTTAAAAATGTGTTAATTTTGTGTATTTGTCACATTTTAATAGCATGCATTTATTACTTTCATAAGAAAAAAGTAAAATGAGTGAAGATTAATATCCTTTCCTTAAGAAAAACAATCTCAAAGATGTCATGTAAGCTGTGAACTACCAGGAAAAAGTTGGAAAGGGTGGTGATCATCAGATCTTTCTAATCAACCATTCAGATCAGTCAACAAGCATTTACTGAGCACATACCGGTGACCAGGCACTGGCAGTACCGAGAGCATTAACTTCAGGCGACATTTCTCCAAGTATGGATCCTCGGCCTATGGGTAACAAAAGTGCCCTGGGGAACCCACTGTAGCCCACCTAGTCAGAATCTCTGAGAATGGGGTCAGAGAAATTAGCATTTTTAAATATGCTCCTTAGCTATTTAATACGCACATTCTAGTTTGAGAAACACTGCTTTAATGAACAATTTTAACCGCAATGACTGGTTTTAGTGAAGAATGCCAGGAGTTGTAACAGTAAGATTTAACCTCAGAACAAGATTTTAGCTTAGCAAACATAGTTCTTTGCATAATAAAGCAGGGTGCACCCAGGTTGTAAATATGGGATTTCTTAGGGAAGAAGGCACCATGTCAAAGTGACCAGATGTAGTGTGTGTGCAGGCCCCGTGACAGCAGTCTGTTAAGAAGTCCTATGTGAAGCAAAGCCTGGTGAGATATCAGGAAACCTTGGTGTGTTTCTGGAGATTCTCTAGGAGTTAGAAAAGGTAATATGTACTTCCCCCCTCCTCTTCCTTAGAGAGCACTCTAGATTCAGGAAAAGGTCTCACTGAGCCTTGCCCACACATGTAATAGGCACTCTGCATCTAGAATACTCACTCAGTGTCTTCTGGATGGTGTTCAGCCGTGGGAGAACCAAGATGGTAGCTCGCAGACATGTTTTCAAGCTGAGTTGCTATGGCGCTTATATTGGTATCTGCTACAACCTGGGGGAAAAACCAGAACAAGAAAATCCACTGTAAATCAGGAGAGAATTGGAGAAACCATACCATATTCAATGGCTGGTTCTCATCCTCATGTTATTCAGACTATCTGCAGCATTTGACACAAATGGATTATTCTCTCAAATGATTTTCTTCATTTGGCTTCCATAACACCATACTTTACTGGTTTCCTTTCTACCTGCCGGCCGTTCCTTCATATATCCTAAGCCTCTATTAGAGTGCCACAGGGCTCAGTCCTTAAATTTCTTATCTCTCCCATCTAAACATCCCCTTAGTTATCGCCTCTTATCTCATCTCATCCCACTTGATAACTTAAATACCATCTACGTAATGATAATTCCTGCATCTGCAGCACCACCTCTTACCTCTAGATTTATATGTCCAATCACCAATTAGTGGGATGTCCAACACCGACCTTTATTCCCATAACCCTCCTCATCTCAGGTAATGGCCACTTCATTCTGTCAGTTTCGGCAAATGCCTTGGTATCATCCTTGACTACTCTTTCCCTCACAACCTGCATTCAGTCCTCATAAAGTGCTGTTGGTCTTCCTACAGACTCATCTCTTGCCTGGAGTTTTACAAAAGCCCCCTTGCTTGTGTCCTTGCTTCAGCCCCTCCCCCACTCAGTCTGTAGCAGCTAGAATGGTCCTGTTAAAACACAGCAGATTATTTCACTCTGCTTAAAACTTAAAGCACAGGAAACCCAACTCCCTAGGATCACAAGCTCAAGTCCTTACTATGATCTACAAGGTCATCTGCAGGTGACCTACCCAGTTATGTCTCTGCCTTCAGCTCTTAACATTTTCCTCTGCATTCACTGGGTTCCAGCCACACTGGCCTCCGTGCTGTTCCTCTAACGTGCCAGAGGCATCTCCACCTCAGCGCTTTGCAAGTGGAACATTCTGTGTTCAGTGTCTGCATGGCTAGCTCCTTCACTTCCCTCAGGACCTTGGAGACTGTAACTAAAATTTCTACGCCAACACCCAGCCCAACATTTCATACCCTCCTTTGCTTTCTGATTCTTTTGTTTTGAAGAACAAAACAGAGGTCACATGCAAAGACAATAATACTCTCTAATAAACTATATATTTTTTAACCTTATTTATTTATTCCCTGTCACATCATATGAGAGTATGAGAGCAGGAAGCCTGTCCATTTCATTCACTACTGTATCCTCATTACGTTCAACAGTACCTGGCATATAGATGTTCAATTAATATTTGGTGACTGAAAGAAAGAATATCTGACTCCCTATTATTTTTTTAGATGGTTCCAGACAAAAGTATAGTACATGACATGTAAACACTTTATGTATCTGTAATCTTGCAAATAGTATTCAAGAGAAATATGGTATAGCTCCAACAGCTCATACTAGGACTGAGGTTCAATGAGTTCAGTTTCTGTCATTTAAATGGTGCTGTGCCTGAGTTTCAGCTTGCTCATCTGTTGAATGGGAATCAGAAAAGCCTGCCTTGTATGCTAAGCCTGGAGGTGTCTTCCACCTCTATGAGTTATCAGAGCTTCTTTCTCAAGAGCTCCTGGGCTACCCCTGCTTCTGATCAGTGGTTCTTCTTCTAGGGTATAATACTCAGTGCACAAGTATAGAGTGCAATGCAAAGAACTGGATTTGACTGCAGTTTCAGAATAAGCCAACAGAGGGCATGGCTGCCTCAATTGCTAAACTTAGCTGTATCTGTTAATGGAGTTTTTAGAACAAGGAAAGCAACAGGCCAGTCCTGGCAGAGTGAGAACACATTTTGGTGAAGTATCCTATTCCAGGGAAAACATGGCTGTGTGCAAGTTATGGAATCTTCTGGAAATACCATCCTATACAGAATGTCTGAATGAACTGGGCAAATATTTAGGATAAGAGAAAGAGGAAGAAACAGATTCTCCTTGACCACAAGAGCCCCTCTACTTTCCAACAGCCCTTTTTTTTACTCTCCCCACAGCAAGTGTATTGGAGAAATTGTCTTTGCATGTGACCTCTGTAATTCTAACCTACACCATCTTCGTGAACTACTCCATTCCAGCAGCTATCCCTAAACTTCCATTCAAGCAGCCACCAGACCTAAACTTCTGTGACCCACTTTCTGGCTTTCCCCATGCTGCTGGGGCCCACTTTTCTACCTCTTGGCTATTCTATTGGACCCTGTGGCTCAGTCCTGTACCCCCCTTCCCACATGCACACTCAGGGTCTAGGTGACAATGTATATATTCTCGTAGCTTTAAATGGCAACAAGGTGCTGACAGTTCCCAGCCTAGTCGGCTATATCCACTTGCCAATTCACCATCTGCATTTTAACAACTCAAAGGCTTATTATGATTAACACAAATTCAAACTCTTGATCCAATAACCATTTTTCAATGAATTTGAAAAATTCTTAGTAAATGGCACCTCTGGCTACCTAATTAGAAATGCACTAGGTGGAATATTGAAAATACTTGATTTCTGGCTGGTGACGACTGTCCACCTAGAAAAGATGCCAGGATGCTAACCACACAGGTACTGTCTCTGAATATCAACCTGATACATCCGTCTCTCACCTGCCATATGCAATCCACCACCAAGTCCTCTGGATCCTACCTCTAAAGTACTTCTCAAATCTGTTTTCTTTTCACCTCTGTGGTGACCATCCTAATCAATTCATCATCACCAACTGCCTTTTAACCAGCATCCCCAGTCATCCTCTTTCAATCTCTTCTATACAACAGCCAGTTATCTTTTTTAACATAAAATGGATAATGGCACTCCCCTGCTTAAAACCTTCCAGTGGTCTCTCTTTGTACTCAGAATAAAATCCAGACTTCCTAATTATAAACACAAAGGTCCTCCCCTAGGAGGTCCTGCTCCTCTAATCCCATTATCTCCTTCCACTCCTTTATTTGCTCCAGTTCTCTCTGTCCAGAATCCCCACCCCTCCCCCTACCCTACCAAGAAAAGCCAGTTGGCCTGGTGTTCACTTAAAAGTCACTTTCCGTATACAAGCCTTCTTTACCACCAGTGTTTTAATTTCTCCTGCTTTCCTCTCCATAAGAATTTTTTCTTACAAATTGCAATAAGACATATTTGTGTGACTGTTAACATGTCTTTCTCCCTCAATCACAGGATTCATGAGGATAAGGATTGCTTCTCAGTATTAACATGCCTGGCACATAACAGTTGTTTAATGAGTATTTGTGGAGTGAATGAACCCAAAACCTTCCTAAGGAATAGGGATTATGGGACTCAATCTTCTGAATTTCCACGGAACAGAGTGAGACTGATGGAGGTTACAAGCAGATTGGTTTTGGGTCCTGTTAAAGTGAAAAAAAAAAATCTAATAAGGTAGTTACAGAATGGAATGGCACAGCTTGTTAGGATATGAGCATCTTGCCAAAGCAAGCATTCAAGAGGTTCAAAATCTATCAATTCGGGACATAGTAAAGGAGATTCCTATACTTGGTGGGAATTTGGACTTGTACTCTCAGTTGACTGTGAAACAATCCACCCATTATGGGGTTAAGGAAGAAAGTCAGTAAAATACTATTTTTTCTTAAGTAGGCTTTATGCCCAACTTAAAGACTTTAAGTCATGACCTTGAACTCGTGAGTCTGAGATCAAGAGTCAGATGTTCCACCAAGGGAGCTGGTCAGGTACCACAAATACTGTTTTTTCTAAGGTACCTTCAAAAGCCAAGCTTTGATGGCAACCTGATCCTTTATTTGCTCATTTGTCTAATATATAACAGCACCACAACTAATGAATATAAACTGAGCACTTACTTTATGCTAAACACTCTCCTGAGTCCCTACGGACTCAGGTAGGTACCACTATTGTTTCCATATGTTGGGCAGAGGAACCTGGAGCAGAGAGATTAAGTAACTTTCTCAAGGTCAGTTAAGGAGTGAAAGCTGGATTCACTTCCATTTCATTTTATTCTAGAATCTTGGGCAGTGTGAGGGTATAAACATGGTCTTGGACCCTCACACCAGGCAATCTGACTCACAGTGCATATGATTAAGTAAACTCTAGATATGGTGTCAAGGAGGAAGAGGGGCAGAGAGATAGTTGAACAAGCAGTTGCAAATAGAGCAGATCATCTGGATGTGTGCTTGGCAACAGGTGGAAAAATGTCCTCACCCTCACAGGATACTATATGAAGAGGGCTCAGGGCATGGGAGACATATGCCCATGGATATTCCAGAAGGACAGTTTTTTTTAACTTTTAGGAAGAGAATACCCTTTCAAGAGTCCACGAAATCAACCGTGTAAGTTGTGAAACCAAAGTCACAGTTCTATTTGGGTAAAAATTAATTTTTTTTTATCTAGCTAGAGAAGATAAAAACACTTCTAACAGCACCATTGTACAGAAAAACTCACATCCCTCCAAATCTGAAGGCCTCTTGCTCAATGCCAACCCTGAAATAAAAAGGCCACTCCCAGCCACTGATAATATTAAATCCTAGAGAATTACCTAGGATCCTTGGAGCTGTGCAAGCGCCTATTTTGTAGGAGTGGAAGCCAAGAAGCTAGTGGGAAATGTGAAGGATTTTCACTGACAGCAGTCTTTTGTAGGAAGGCAAGGAGAGAATAAACTCATCACCCTCAGAAAGACTTTATAGGCCCAAGGCATTTGCATTAACCATCGTGGTCTCAGAGTTGATTGGTCTTCCCAGGGATTGACTTAGGAAAGACCATAATCTGATCTTGGAAAGGTATGTATGTTCAGCCGGGTACAAGTCCAAGGAGATGTGGCCTATGAGTGTTCAGTGCAGCCTCTGAAGTGCTCTTCCCTCATCAACATCAGGGACCAAATGGCATGGAGGTAAGGCTGGGAAAGGTCTATTTACACTTTCTGAAGAAGGGCAAAGGCAAACAGACTAATGGGAAGTTTACTCATTTTTTTTTTAAAGTAAATCTTCAACTCCTGGGGACAAACTTCTCTGGTAGGTTCTGAGGATAGAACCAGGAGCATAGGAAACCAAGGGAGAGCAAA